CTGGTTCTCTTGGAACCCTGTACGAAATTCGTCGGCCCTTTGCCTTTCTTCCCGTCAGATCGGTATCGGTACCCAGTCGCGAAATTACCGTCGCGTGTCCCCATGTGCCTGGCTCAGAAAACTTTTTCCCTTCCCCTCATCCGCGTGTGTTCGTCAGAATTTCCAAGGTATCCGTCATCGTCGAGCAACTTTCTGATCGTGCAACCCTTCCGCCCCTCTCTCTCTCTCTGTCTCTCCATTGGTCGCGTGTCGAGCGTGTACACCTGGGCTTCACCTTGAGGGGAAGAGGAGAGAGAGAGGCCACACCACCATGCGCACTGTCTCTCCGGCAGTTCCTGTCTTGCGCGCTCCAAGGTCGTAACCGCGATCGCATTATTCTCTGTCTTCTATTACACTCCCGTGCTTCCCGGTTCCGGTCGGAATTGTTTATGTCGCCACACTGTGTGGGACCTGTCTCTCTCTCTCCCTCTCTATCTTGTGTGTCGCATGCGAATCAGGGCTCTCGGCCATAAACGTCTCCTGGGGTTTGTCTTCTCTCAACGAAGTGCCGTCTGAGGCGACGACGTCGCGGGGATGATATCCAGGGAGAAATAATGTTTGGAAGCGACTTACATCGCCGTGGCAGGGATATCTGGGTTGAATTGAGGCCATTCATAGAAGAAGGGCACGTAAATCAATTTTTTCAATTTCTTCAAAGGTTAACCCGCTAACTCCATTTGTCCACCACAGTGGACGCCTACGTTATCAATTTAGTGACAATATTTGGAATATTCCTTGACGATCGGCAGTAAGAACTTGTTCTCGAGTCTTTGTTTTCCTATCTTGTAGGACGTTATTGGTTTTTCTGCGATGGCGACAGATGCTGGCTCATTTATGAAATTCCGAGCGAGCCGATGAATTCACGGATCGCGATAATTTTTCAGCTGGCAGACCATTAAAATCGAAAGAGGTCGCGGGGCTATCCGTCTGTATCGAACGTCGATTAGATCGACCGTTCCTACCGTGCATGTTATTCCCGGTTAAATGATACAGACGAGCCATATGTATCGCGTTTTCATTATCGTTGCACAATGTTTGCTCGAGGCACCTAAGAATGTACGAGTTCTGGAATTATTAATGAAAAAAATATTATTCGCGTACACACCTCGCGACTGTAGCTGGTCAACGATTACCATCGGTCGAATGGATCGAGGCGTGTGGAAAATGAGATGTAATCGTGTCTCAAGATCGCAGTACAGATTACATTCGTCCCTTGAAAGTGTTGCAGCCAGTTCAGACGATACGATTTTTAGACCGATCCGGTAATTTTGTCGAATCGGTAATAGCCGCAAGCAGCGTTCACACGTACAAGAGACAGTTCAAGGAAAAGGTATCATTGTTCTCTTAATAACTTTTTAAGAAACCAAACGCTGCTTTATTATCGATTCAGCAAAATTGTCGAATCGGTCAAAAAACCGTATCATTTGAACTGGCTGTTACACGGCGGAGATCGTGTCGAACGAGTCAGTGGTGAAACGAGAATAATCCCGGAAAGTTTCTCGCGTGAGGACGTTACTCTCGGCGATAGTCACCCCCCGGAAATATAAGTCACATTTGTCTTCGAGATCAAGCCGGACGGGAAACTACGAGCGGGTCAGGTGCCTTTTATCGGAAATACCGTCGAAAACATATTTTTCCCCGAGTTACGGAGGCAGATCGTAGGAAGCATAACTCCGGGTTTGCAGCGCGGACAAATATGAGGTATTTTCCACTGCCAGCTAGAAGAACGAACGTATCCTGTCTAACAAGATCCATAGTGCAGATCGAATAATTTTCGATCGTAATTTGCAATTGGAGAACAACCAATTCTAACTATATACGTATTATCAAAAAACATATCGCTCATTTACTGCAACAATGACATAAACCACCAATCAAAAGTATAGGACCAGGTTTGACAATTAAAGAAAAGAAAAAAATATTATTCTACAAAGATTTGGTAAAAGTAATGTGCTAAAACTGATAGGAAATAATTTTTATATGTATTGATTCCCTCAGTTTTATTATGTTGTAACAGAATAATGAGTTACTGTTCCATCAATCATGAATTATTGCGATCAAAACATTCAAACCCATTTTCGGTTCGACATATAGATAGAGAAACTTGGAGGCGGACAATATTTAGGGAATGTAACAGTGTGTGGTATCGACAGAAAATAGGCCAGTAACAGTTTCCAGGAGCGGTGGGATCTAAACGGTACACGATAAGACCGCCACATGTTCGTTCTAGACAATAATCCGAGCGAGACCTCGGCAACTCGGAAATACTACCACGAATTGCTTTTACGGGGAACTCGCGACATATTGCCAGAGTAACTATAGAACCTTGTGAAAAGCGTAACAATTCTAGAAAATGTTATTCCACCAACAAAATTCTTCTAATTGTTTATACACCAAAATTGTCTTTCCCTGCGTAAGAATCTTGTTATATTTTCCAAGGATCCGATTCGTGCAAAGGGGGATTATATATCTCGACAGAAAGATCCGCTAATAGTTAAGCCGACAGATTTATTATCGAGATTCCCCTCGGTTGAAATTAGAAACCGCCGGCGTTTGCGCGAAACTTGCAATGATCAACAAGAACAGCGAAAAGGCCTATACATGGAAAGTTTAAGAAGCGTCCGGCGATAAAAGCGATCGGAAAGATTACGGTGTCGAGAGATCGGTCGTGAGATTGCGGCGGGAGCTCGACGATAGCAATTGTTGCGATACAATTGCCAAGGCCGGAATCGCTTCTAGCTAGGGATACCCAATCGATCGCTGACTACGAAAGCAAGGAAATAAGCCACGAGGGTAAAACGGGTGGAAAAAAAAGAGAGGAAACCCGGGGGGAAAACGATACGCTGATAGAACGAGTAAAAGCATCTTTTTGCTTCGTAAATTTCTTCCTATTCCGTGAAGACTGTTCGTTTTAACCTTATCGATTAGCTACTTGATGCTATTACTTATACAAGACACACGTCCATCTAACCGATGGACCTTTTGGAATCAACATCGTTATCTTAGAATATTCTTTCACCAATTTTTCTCTCGATATACTCGAAATAAATGCTTTGTTCTTTCTCTTAAGGGAAATGCAGGGTATTTCCGAACTGCTAGTATAGACAAGTCGAAAAGGTAGAATAATATTTTTCCGTATAACGTTTTGTTTCCAAGATAGTCGAATTAGAAATTAATTTAACACGTGTGTAGTGTGTAGATATACAGTGCCGGTAAATAGAAACGGAATGTATTGAACAGACACATTAGCCAAGTCCAGCAGATATTAAAATTCGATTATCTCGAAAATGAAGCACCATAAGAAATAATTCTATGTGAAATTACATTCTTTCGGGTTGTACCACCAGTCCGGAAAGACCCTACATATATGTATAAATGTTCTCACAACTGTTTTTCTTGCTCATAGCACTTTCAGATTCACGGTTCCCCGCGATTTACGGCCCACCGAAATTTCGTATTTCCCTGTCCCTGTCGACGCACAGATAATCGTCCCGGGGCACGAAGAACGGTGGTTCACGAATCATTTCCCCGGGCGGTGTGATAGGGATCAACACGAAAGGAATTCGTTCACCGATGCGTGACCCACTCATAGGACGAGATGTCGCGCGATTGCTTGTCGACGGTGAGGGTTGTTTACGGAACCCTTAATCAATTCGGTGATACCGAACGGAGCCACTGTTTACCCGGGCGACTGCCAATATTTGGTCTCACGTCTGGTTTCGATCGTTCGGGGGGGGAGGGGGGCGGATGAAACGGATTGCCCGTGTTTTTCCCGATTTTCGCCAAACGGAAATCTGCACACGATTGGAAAACGTAAAACTTCGTATCTATACTTTTCAATATATTCCTTATGTGACCTCGTAGTATCGCGAACGTAAAGGAAAAAAAAACACAAAAGAATTCCATTTCTTACACGCGTCCCCTTTTCCCCCTGTACAGACCATGGCACACATTTCTTTTTTTCTTTCTTCAAACTGAAATAAAGGTTCTTTTCCCCCGAGGTCACCGTGAAATTCAATTCAGCTAAAAGACAATGAGAACGATTGGAAGTTCTTGGCCAGCTCTCGCTCCCCCCCACACGGAAATCGATCAGAACGCGGAAGCTGTGTGTGTATGTGTGTGTGTGCGTGTGTGTGGACAGGAAGGGGTTAACGAGGTATCGAAATGGCCATTTCGAGGTTCGCGGTGGGTGGTCTCGGTTGAATACCAGAGCATCGTTGCTCGAGATATCGTGGAACCAGCGCGAGCACAACGAACAATGCTGGTGTATCATTAACGAGCCGAGTGTACTTAGTTAGGTCAGCTTCGTCAGTTTCTTAATTGGCTTCTGTACAACGCCGCAGTACGACAAATCATCAAGCCCCGCCGCCGGTGGAAACGCGACCGACTCGCGAGATCGAGGATACCTGGAGAACGAGACCGTGTGGGATCGAGGAATCGTCGCGAATATTCTTCTCGATGATCTACTACGATAGAGTACACCACTGTCTTTCGAGTGGGCCTAAATCTCTGCTGTTAACGTGCATCTGATTTTTGTGCTGCGGCTCGAATACTACGGGAATATATACATATACCCCGACGAAACCTTCCGAACCTTTAATATTCACGTGTTATTCTACCTTTTCTACTGCAGTGCATACGGAGAAAATAGGGACGATGTTGCGGTACGATGTAATGTTACAGAATACTATCGATATTCACAGGGTTATTCTATTTTTTCTCTACAGTACACGAGGTAAATTGGGGAGACGATGTTACAGTAGGATGTAGCTATAATTCTATAACTCCCAGTATTGCACCGGTGCAATACTTATTTGAAAAGTGTACCAGAGTCTGTCGCCGGCTAGTAGCTAATTTTGTGTCAGTAAGAATCCATGTATGTATATCAGTCATATAATTTTAAAGTAAGGATTTAAGGGTCTGGGTGTTAAAGTGTTAAAATGGAATGTTTCGAGACTCACCAGTTCTCAGAGGCGTCCTCGTCGAGGATGGTCCCGTCAGCAAGTCGATGAGGTAAGTTGGTCGTGGTTCTCGGTCGATTCCTGACCCTCGGCGGACCAACGACACCGGTCCTGGACAGCCCCGCGCGAAAGGACGCCCTTGCCCTGTCGACTACTCGAGTCAACGTCATCGAATCTTATTAGTGATTGGTTAGTAAAAACTGCCGACAGTACACATCATTGGGAAATATATTGCGAAAGTTCACGTGACATCGATATATCGCGTATCAATTTTATCTAATTCGTGTGTCTTTACGAAAATATTCGAATAGCAATCACAGCTAAGATAGTATCATCTCGATGCTCGTTGCAATTTCTCGAATTTTCTCATCAAACTGTAGCGGTATTATTTCACGAGCCACCGGATAACACGGCGACTCTTCCTCGAGCTCGTTGTCGCTCTCGGCGCAATATTCCGTGGGACAAACTTTCCTGAACGAAAACAGGGCCCCGTTCTGTGTGTACGTGTTACTTTACGCAATATATTTTTCTCGGGTGAGAGCAGGGGACTTGAGTGAGTTACACGTAAACGAAGTTACGCCGCCGTTTGGATTAAACAAACTTTCGCCGGAAGGAAATGGGATCATGAATCGCGCCGCCTGGTGGGACACCCGAAGGCAACCGGGAATACGGGGGAATGATTTTGTCTGATTAACTACTGTTACTTAAGCGTTAAGCAAAATAAAAAGAATCTGTAAATTAACCCGCTAACTGCATTTGTGCACAGTAGACGCCTGCTTTATCACTTTAGTGACAAAATCTGAAACATTTATTGACGATCGGCAGTACGATACTTCTTTGATACTTTGCCACGTCACCCAATTATGGTAAATGACATCCAAGTATTAGAAAAACTATGTTACTGTGACTACTAGTTCGTTATTTGTCGAGAGCAGACACATTGCTTATAAGAAAAAAGAATATACTTTTGAAAATGTTTTAAATAGTCTTAAAATTGGTCGGTTTTCGATTGGATCGTTGGCACAAGATTTCTACGATCCTCTATGATCGTCGTAAACTTCTTTGATTTTGCGCCAAACGCGCGAGTCGTTGAACTTCAGACTCAAAAATACAATGTCCACTTCAGATTCTGGGACCCCGGCGCGAAAAGACAGGCCAACGAAGATAGAACCACCGTTCAAATTGGACGTTGACACTATCCATTAATAATTCGGGAGAACTCTGTACGTCGAGACAAAGGATGCTTCTGTCGTCTATAGTACTCGAAGAAACGTGTAAAACGAAAGGAATTTATTTAGCGGTGGGACGAAAGCGACCGATTAAAGAGAAAAAACCGTCGAGACGAAAGAGCACCGCCTATTTGAAGCGATGGTAGCAATTTCTCTCGGTGCACGCCGTCATCGATCGCTATTAAACCAGCGTTTTCGCCGACGTTCACGTTGTGTCCATCGAAACAGCATCCCCTTAGAAAAAGAAACCCGGGGAATTGATTGGAACGTTTCTATAAATCGTCCCATTACCGAGCACACTTTAAGGTCGGGGGGATCATTCTCTGGGGCTTCTCGTGCTGATTGGACAAAAAACGAGAAAAGAAATCTGGTCTAAAGAGAGCCCGCGTCTTATAAACAACTCGAGATGCAATGAAGCAGCAAACTGAAGGAAAAGAAAATTTCGAGAAGAGATCGAGAGGAGTATCATCGCGTTTTTTATTTAACTCTCAAACAACGATGACTGTGTCATTTTGACTCGAGTTTTCGAGAACTTCACCCAACTCAACAGCTTCCATTAACCCTACTGTCCTCCTCGGGTCTATAAGACCCGAAATAAACAGTATATTTCGGTAAGTATTATATTCTTAAATATTTGCGTTTAGTAGGTAGATAGATAGATAGATATATTCTTTATTTCAGCCTCACAGCTAATAAATTTTGACCTGTCAAACCAATCTACAAAGAAATTCGTTAAAAGATTCATTTAGAAGGAATATTGCACGGGGGTCGAAACGGTCCCATATGGCATACAAAATCGTCCACCTTCCGAGGGTTAAATCAACATTTTAGTATTGCTTTCCACGTGAAAATCGCGAGGAATAATAGTGTCAGGAAAAGACGCATGTGGCTCGATCATTCAGCGACAGTCTGTCCATTTTAATAATCAATTTCATTTCCCGACGTTCCAGCCATCAGCTGATTCGCCCGCAGGGGCCGTAGAAGGTGGATTATCAATCGGTCAGGTGGGGGCTGTCTATAGCTTCCTATAACGGGGGTATAACATTTATTATCGGGTCAGGGTTAACTGTTAGGCGCGCCATACACACATGCACACACACACACACATACACACGTCCAGCGGACTGTTCTGTAGCGTCATTCTAAAAATAGTCCCGCGAACACTCCAGATATAAAACGTGACCACGCGTCTCTTCCTTTTTACGTGTGCCCTCTGTGTGTATGTATGTGCGCGCGTGTCTTTGGGATCGCAAGGCAAGACGACAGAAGATGAGCCGATTGGGCATCCGAATCGCCAGTAGAACCACCGGGTGATTATATACACAAGGTGATTCGATTGTAATAAAACCTCGAGCGATCGAGGCATCTTCTCGCGAAATTTCAATTCCCTTCAATCGCAACCACTTTTTCAAAGTATACACCTGTTCATCTGCTACTTCCTTCTGTTACTGAGGAATCTGGGCAATTGGATACTTCGAGAAATCACCTCGAATCAGGAAGAAAATTGAAAAGGAAGAAATTAGAAGTAAGGAGGCCCTCGATAGAAGTTCATCTACAGTATTCTCCGATAAGACCCTGTTGGACCTAGGATTTAGATCCTGTATGCTACAACAAACTAATTGATGCTACAACCTCGTTCGTTATAATAAAGGTTTTAATAAAGTTTAACACTATTTATTTCTTGTTCGTAACATACTTAATCTCTATTCTAAATCTACTAGTCTAGTTATAGCATTTGCACTTAAATATTGTATGTAATTTCACAAACTATAGTGACACAAATTATAGAAATACACGACACTGTTATTAACAAATTCGTATCGTCAGGTGTGTCTTTACCATGGTAACGATGGCGGACTCGGACAATCGGTAGAATTGTCGATCATCTTTGCCCACGTATGTTACAAGATATTTGTACATTGTAGCATACTGATTGTAATAATAGAGACTGTTCACTGTAGCATTCGTTCGTTGTAACATACCCCATTCTATAACGAGACGGATGTATATACTTTCCTTGGGTACGACATATTCGGAAGGTAGACACGATCGAACCCCACGGCCGACGGAACGTGACACGCGGAAGGACGTGCAAAAGAGTAATTCGAGAAATGGCGCAGGATATCGTTGCGCGGCTCATTATGCGGGCAAATCTGACCCCGATCTCCGATTGTAATAATCATCGTTCCACAATGAGAAAGAGTGAGAGGTACACGTGTGTTACATGGCCCAGTTGCCAAGGAGGGGCGGGGGGTAGGTAGAGGCCGGCCCTGAATGGCGACGCTGTCTTATACCGATCGGTGCAGCAGAAAATAATGATCCTCCCGGCTTAAAAGCCGCAGGAGAACTCTGTATACGCGAGCACAGCACGAAACGTCTTGAGCAAGGATATCGTGTTGAGTCGCGTCAAGTTTCGTGCGTTTGTTCCCGTCTTCCCGGTCTGGAGTACCTCTGCGAGTCAAATAAGGGGATTGTGACCGATTTTGGTCAGACATAACGTGACTGATCGAATAAATGTTGGATGGTTCGAGTCACAGATCATCAGAACTCTTTTTTCGTCTGTTTCTGTCTAATATACTTCCTGATTACCAGCAATCTGGTATGGTGATGATGCATCTATCGTTATTGGTCATCTGTTCTCGTTTAATCGGTAGTGTGCTCTGTAGATAATTTGGTCAAGTGATAGCCTTTCGTGAACAAACTTATGAGTCACTGTATTTATTTTTCACTGGGTTGACAGCTTTTTGCTACTTTCTTTGATGAAAAGACTTGAGGAATAGAGGGAAGTCAGAGGTAAAGTTAATCATACGAAAAAGTGAAGATTGTGTATGCTATGTTACGTTCCTGTGTGCGTGATGCTCTGACGTGTTGTGTAAAATGTAGCGTTACACAGGAATCGTGCTATCTAATCTTGAATTTCGAGATCGACGAGAGTCGTGAAAGGGAAAAGAGCATTACAAGCGGCAGTAGACACTATCCAACTTCCCAAGGGCAAGAAATTACAATCCGAGTTTGCACGGGTCAATAATTGAAATCTGTCGGAGGAGACCGGTTATTAGTTCCGCTTCGAGTACCGGAAAAATATTCATTGTTGAATATCGCGTCCCTTGCGAAGCACACGGGCCGTTTAAACACCCGTCGACACGGAGTTAATTATTTTAATTATTTTTCGACTCGTTTTATTGTGTCAAGGGTGCTGCTCGGTGAGATTGCACTCGAAGCACACTGGCCCCCCTCGGAAAAATTGCCGGCGCGTGGGATGCTCGTGTTTTCCACAGCATTTTCGTCCCTTGGTTTAATCTCGTGAATAACATCAGCTTTATAGGAAAACGAACCGAAGTCATAAAACAGGTGAGACGGATGTGACACAGGAATTATTTTCTTGTCGACAATGACTATGCGACAAACGTGATATAATTACAAATCTCGATCAAGGGACATTTCTGAAGAAAAACTCACACAGAAATGGATTAAAGAAGAAACTTTTAAAGGTATAATTGTAATGATAGTATGTAAATAATCATTAAACGTTTGATAATTAAACATTTCTTAAAGTTTATTCTCACGAAGCATCCAACGAAAGCTTTACCCCCCGATCGATCCACGAGGGTCGTTTAACCGGTTTCCAGCTGGATTCGACATTTTTTTTAATCCTTCAGAAGACGAGGATATTTATTCGGGTGGGGAAATTTCATTAGCCCGGCCCGGGGAAAATGAAACCAGGCTGCTTGCATTCCCCGCCGGACAAAAAGAGCGGTCTCGGTGTGTATAATTTTCACAAGCACCTTTCGTACACATCAGCCAGTGGCAAGGAAGGTCACACACAGTGTGTTTCAAGCACGCTCCTACAAACACACCCAGTGTTAACACTTAACTACGTGACCTAGTGTCCTCGACGTTGCACAACGAAAGCGAACCGTGCATGAAAAAAAAGCAAGCAAGCAGGCAAGCAAGCAGAATGTCTGTAGGAATAAATAGGACAAACAGAGGCGAGAGAGTAGCGACAGCATCTTCTCTCCCTCCGCCCCGACTGGATGACTATCGAACCGGAGGTTGGTTTTGTTTCTTGTTGCCTTTCGTGTTAGAAATTGCACGTTCGAGCGACGATTATCCCAGATAATGATTGATTCGCAACGAACAAGGTCGTGTTAGGAGTATAATAAAAAAAAATCGAGGAAAGAAAATAAAGTAGAGAAAAATTGCTGCTTACAGCGTGTGACGAGCCTGTTGTTGGTCTGAGTGGGGGGCGGAATCGCAGGTTGTGGGGGCGGTTGGGAGCTCAGATCCTCGAAGTTTATGATTTGCAAACAGATATCGTCCACTTCGCTCCTTATCAGCGCTATCACTTCGCTGCACAAGAACTTGGTGCCTGAAACAGAAAAGTTCGTAAACCACGATTAGCATAATCCCCCTCCTCCCCGAGTTTACCGGAGTTTCGCGAATTTTCCGCGTACATTCGGTGAGGCAAACATATAACGATTCTAAGAATAACAATTAATCATAACGGTAACATTTATTTTACGATAGCCCACTGATGCAACGAGAGACTAACATATATCTATAATAACAATGAGCAGAAACTGAAGCATATCAAAGCGAAAGAAGGAAACAGACACAAGGCTATAAAAGAAAACAATAACTGAGGGCAAGTAACGCGTATGTATAATACCTATAATGTTCGACAATAAAGCAATGGAGGATGTCCGAGGTTTTCTGATCTACAGGAAATCTATGGTGTTATACGAAATGATCGATTTCTATTGGCAGTTTCTGCTATTCGATAAAAAAGAATTATGAAACTCGAACATAGGTACGTATGTATTATCCATGGAAACGAACACACTGTTATTGGTCGCGTTAAACGGCCGCAGACCGGGGATATCTGGCGCGATAAATACCATTTAGACCGGACTCGTTAAAAGAGCGCGTCTTTTTCGAACATCTAGACGTGGGTAACGAATAAAAGAAACCGGCGATAAAACCTCGCCCGAAAGCTTCCTATAAAATCGCATCTGGATTCGATCCAAATATTTATCCTGACTTCCGTGTAACGGAAACGGCGTATATGCAACCGTAAATCGAAGATTGTTGCAGAAGCCGCGTAAAATTCACTAAGTGGGGTAACGCGATTGCGCCACTTTGTCGATCTTTTCGGATTCAACTGGACGTGTCCCGATGATCGGGCGTCGTTATCGCGAAATGTGCGGTACTGTCACGAATATAGACGCTCACGATTTCGACAAACGACACAGTTTCGTCGGATCGAAGCGACGGAAGACCTCGCGAAACATGGAGGACGGCTTTACGACGCGACGGGAATGAAATTAGATCGCGACAGGCGTGGATGATTGCGCATACTTCGACCGAGACAGAGAGAGGAGAGCTTGCAATACGATACTTACAGCGACCTTCTTAATGGAACACTTTAACACTCAATTAACGCAGGACACACTTCGCCAGGAAAATACAGAAAAAATTTCGCGACCTGTATATACACAACTGTTTCTTCTGTTTTCCACGAAATATCGAGGAGAAATTTCTTCCTTCGATCATTTCTTCTGATAGTGCTCAAATATCAGAAAGCACATATCCCACATTTCTATAAGAATAATTGAAGATTCACGCGTGTTGCGTCGTAGAGTCCTTGGCGCGATTGATCCGGCGCTTCCCGACTACACACGCGGAATTAACGTTATGCGAATAATTTAGACGAATAGAACGAATACTTGGTGAACAATAATAACTAATTGGTTGACAAGATGGGAAGAAGGATGAATTTTTTCTATTGGCCAATAAACTGTCGATGTTTCCCCTTAAGGTGTGTCAGAAAATGAACGAGGAAGCTTCTTTCCTCGTCCCTTAAGCATTCTACCTGGATTTCTGGTATCAGCCTTTGTCAAACATTAGAAAAAGGCTCCTGTAACGACCTATACGCATATGATAGCCCAAAGTGAGATACAGATATATGACTTCGATGATCAGAAACATGGTCTATACACAGAAAAATGACTGCTGATTCAGAATTATACACAGTTTTCAACCACGCTAGATACTACGAACACGAGCAACCGGTGTAAAAAAGAAAAAAGCCTTCTCTCGGTGTGTGCGGCCAGCATCAAGGTCACGGAAGCCCGTAGCCACGGGAACGCGATTAACTACCACGACGATGAGGGCAAGCTTTTGTCGCGGCTCCGCGATCACGACTAATTAGCCAGCGTGTTTACGAGTCAAGGTACCTTGGACAGAGTCCAAAAAGGGCTCGTGCGATAGGAAAGTATGTCCCGCGGACGGGGAACGCGAGGGGCCGTGGTAGGCAGGCGAGGCGTAGCCTTCGGATTCCCGATTCGGACGCGGGCCTCGTTGCGCAACCGGGGCTCGGATGGAAAACACCCTGGCACGCTGGCCGCGTAATCGGCCGGATAACCGTGCCAAGAGTGCCACCGGCCACCTGGATCCTCGAATCGTCGAACGTCATCGACATGGAATGTCAACGATGATGGGTTTCGTATCGTCGGATCGCGAATAGCGACTTGCCTCTCGATCAAAGGGGATGCAAGATCCAAAGACTCCCCTTTTGATTTTACTTCATTCATTTCCTAACGTGAGGCGTACGTCTCATCTAGCAAATCATGGACATTCGTCAGATCAACTGCAACAGTTTTACTTGTGCGCCTTTTTTTTATTTTAAAGAATTTGGTAACAGTTTAACTATGTGCACTTTTTATATCGAAGAACTTGGTTTGCTATTATGCTAGGGGGCCATTGAGATATTCGAGGCGTTCAAGTGGGGTATGTTCCAAAAATGGTTGGGAAACACTGCTGTAGAGTAAACGGTTGTAAAAGGCACCTACCGTAATGTGTGTCGAACGATCATTACATACTCGCGAACTGGTCCGAGACATAATCGCGGTGCGAGGAGTACAGAAGCAAAGGGAGGAACACAAGTAGCTTATATAGTTCGCTCGAATGGCTAATGATCAACGAACCGTGCCAGCGATTGTCGCACGATCGTGGAAACGAAGTTTCTAGGAATTTGTTAGCGAGGGAGCTTATAGGCTACTGTATATCTAGAACGCTTACGTGGGGGTAACAAAGTTTCAGATCCTTGAACAGGCTCATGGAAGAGCCTCGTTCGAGGAGGGTGTGTATAGGGAACGATAAAATTGAATGATCACCACCCACTCCACGACAAAGAAAATCCCCCGCCCTTGTTCTTACAGGGTCGCTCTCCTGGTGTCGAGATAGCAGCTAATATGTGCAATACGTGTGTGGTTTCATCGGCAACGTCACGGCGAGCTGTCCCTATCGATCCGTTCGCCGCTTTCTTTCTCTGTTTCCCATTTCCAACCGACGGTTCTCTTTGTCTCGGCGGAATTACGCACGCAGAGACACGGCGGGTCACGCACAAGCCCCGGCTTGTTAGAGGCCCCCAACTGAAATGCGAGGGAAGAAACCACCAGAGGCAAACCTCTCTCGCGGGGCCGAGCGCCGTTGTGCTTTTTCGTGTATCCCGCTTCCATTTTTCATGTAGGTTGCCTACGAACGGCTGGCGAATTAAAGCTTCACGTCCTCGAGGATTCTTATGAAAAGAGACCCACGTTTAGCACAGGGAATGTCTCTGACACGACGTTCTTTTTCATCGTTTAAGTTTAAACGGTCGATTCTCGGGATGCTGATTAATTCTGAGATCCCTGATGTGATTCTATCTCGAACATCGCAGCTAATCCGCGTAATCAGACTTTCGATATCGGATTCGATCGATCCTCTTGAGACTGATCGCATCACGAGATCGATCGACATGTGTAATCTTTATTGAAATACTGTTGGAACTTTGATATTTCTCAACGTGTTCGTTACGATATTCGATCCTCGGAGATGGTTAACGAATCTAAAGGAGATCGACACGTAATCCGTGAACGTACCGAACCGATATTACCGGAAACAGGGTTTTCCACTCCGTTCGGGAAGAAAGGCAGAAAACGAACCCGGCTGACTTTACGAGGACGATATGTGGTGTTTCGGAAACTACACACGCGCGTACAACGACGAGTTGTAAACGCCCCGGAGGATAGTAAAAACCACCAGACTTACTCGCACGGAGCTGTGAAACGGCTTCGGAAAATAAAAAAAAATGAGTGGGGGAAACGACGTTGAAACGTGCACCCCGGGAACCGAGAGGTTTAACGGCTCGAAGACTCGAAGAAGTCAAGGATTAACTGCGTCTAAAGAAGAAAACAGACACGCTGAAGCACAAACACAGAGTACGATACAGGCAGTTCTAATTATGATGTTAATTACACTGAACGAAATAAGCGGGGACTACGGAAGGCAAGGACACTTGCTTTGTTCGGACATCATTAGATTCAGCTTGCTTAAGTCCCAGGTAGTCCCGAAGGCCAGAAGCACCGAGCGCCCGACGACACGGCTAATGTTAATTAAAATGACGCCGAAGAGAGTCGTCGGTGGCTGGATAACCTGGGCTGTCTCACGGTCGATTATCATTCACGAGGAAAATCAAACGAGCCGTGGAGAGAGAAAAATCCGCGGAGACGAAAGCGCAGCCGCGTGTCGTCTTCTCAGTAGCCTTATTTTCCACCCGTACCCCCCTTCAGTTGTCCGCAGTGAAGCTGCACACCTAGAAGAATGTGTAAAAGCGAAACACAAGCAGCCAGGCGGGGGATTCCAGTGGTACTCTAACTTAATTGAAGCCAGCCCCAGGTCGAGGGGATGAATAAGGGGTGGGGAGACGTAAGAGAAAAACGTTTCCGACGTGGTCGACGACGGAAACGTTCGCTTTCGCGCGCCTTGGGTACACACGCTCTTCGTTAATTTCAGGCCGCGGAAATCCATAAAAGGCGGGGTGTCTGGTCGTTGCGAACGAGTTTGTTGATAGTAGATCCAAGATGCAGTTTAGAGGACCTCCAAGGCGTCAGGCAAACGGAGAACGTTGAGAACACTTGCTTTGTCTCGGTCGAGTAGCACCCCGGTCTCGTTAGGTCCTCGTGGCAGAGGCAGCTTTCAAACCGAGACGGGAGAAGTCCATGAGAAGAACGACGGTGGATGGGCTGAGACCAGGGAGAAGGGTTGGGTACAGCCAGGGAAAAAACGGAGAGGATAGGAAGAGGGCTGTGAAATGGGAGGGAGACGCGCAAGCAACGAGGGTTGAACGTACCCGTGGTCCATTCAGCGCAGGGTTCTTCACGAGAGAAGGAGAGAACGGGTATATCGGAGAGATGGGTGAAAGGGGTGGTCTCTTTCAACAGGCTGCATCGTCTCGAGGATGCTTTCATTTGAGAAGGGGGAGAAGGCCGATAATCCATCCGGTAGCTAAAACACTGGCGATCGATTTTTCCGAGGCTTCCGGGGAGC